AAAAGTACGAATCAGATTTAAAAGTTGTGTTACACAAATATTGTCAGAAAGATGTGTAACATTTTAAAGTTGGAATGAGGTTTCTGAGTGAAAGTATGAAGGAGCAGTTAGCAGTTGAAGAAGGAGCAGTTAGCAGTTGAAGTTGCACGAAGATTGTTGAAGTCTGAAGAGTTTCTCCATTGACTTCCATGTTCAAAATGTGATGTATTATGGGATGTATCTCTGGAATTATGAAAGTTATGAATGATAAAAGTAATAGCCATCGATTCCCGACTGAGCTGAACGTTTTGATGTTTTAACGGAGTTTCTGCGATGTTCAATGCGGGAGAAGAAGTGGCGCAAAATAACCCGGCGGAATAACAAAGAATTTCGTGCGTAGCATTGTTATGCTAGTGGGAATGCTGTGTCAGCATTCCCACTAAATAATAATAACAATAATTACTTGGATTTATATAACTCCTTTCAAGAAACCCAAGGACGCTTTACAATAGGACGAGGGGTCGTGGGGGGGACAAAAAGGAAAACAGTCACACAACAGGGACAAGAAAATAAGAAGAAGATACAAAAACAGAAATAAACAAAGGCTGGTCACAAAAAAATGTAGAAGAGAGGGTTAACTGAGGCTGAATGAACATTAAAGAAAGAGTAAACTAAAAAAAAGTATACATTAAGATGTTTACATAATAAAACAATATAAATGAATTTTAATTAATTAATAAGACTGCATCATAGTGTTTTTTTAAGAAGGATTGAAAAGAGGACAAACAAAAAGGACCACATCTTACAGATTATTCATGCTCTTTGATATATGTGGCCAAAGTTTGTTCTGACGGGCCTAATGGATCTTTTCATAGGAGATCCATTGAGCTGCTTCATAACGCAGCACAGCGCAAACATGGCTTTGATTAAACTTTCACTAATTAAAGTCTCCCTCGTCTTATTATCCCGACTAATTGATTTAATTAGTCTGAGCTAAACTATTGGCTGTGACCTCTACTTAGTTAATTAATTAATTGATTTAGCCCAAGTGTATTTGGAGGAGTCAAAGAAGATTTTGACATGTTGCCCCCTTTAATCTTGCTTACTCCTGACACTCTTTGGGTCATCATGGCAATGTATTGGCAAAGGTTCCAGGGACTGGAGGGTGGATGGCGGTGGATGGCTGTGGATCATGATTGCCACTCCACAAGGCAAGTAGATTTGGCCTCCTGTTGTTTGTCAGTAAATGAAGAACTAGCCTTGGCAATGACATTTTAAAAGCACCATTCTTCAGTTGCTTTCAGACTTGGAAGTAAACTTAAACATGCAGATTCAGCTTTCCCCGACCATCCTCCACCTTCGGGAAGGCGAGGCAACACTCCAAAGGTTGTCATGTCGAGAAGAGAAAAATATGAGTCAATAATGTTGCCATAATGCATGATTAGAAGCAGTATACATATTTTACAAGGGCACTTGGATGCCTAAATCACAAGCATCCACTTTATTGACATCGTTTTTCTTGATAATGTTACGAGACAGAGGAGCATCCTCAGCTTGGATGCAGTTATTAGTGGAAAGCCAACATCTGAACTTGGCACTTTTTAGAGGCATTTGTAGCTGTAATGGTGCTGCATGTGTTCATTTATCAAAGACAGCGGCAATGAAGAAGCTGGATTCTGTTCAAATACGCCTATATAACAAGGAAAATAGATAGCTCGGTGCCATGTCCTTGAATGTGCTGTTCCTCATGAGCACTGTAGGAAAAATATCTGTAGTGAAACCTGAGCAAACAGCTCCCTCCACTGGTGAAACATCAACAACCAACAAACACCATGGATGTTTCATCTAACTGTTCTCAAGAATAAATGAAAAAGCAATTCAATGTTCAGAACAGTGCAAAGAAAATAATGGATTTCAGCAAATAGTTTGTATTGAATTATTTGGGAATGTAAAATACTTCTTCTATCATAGTCCTGTGTTTCTTCGAGCTAATTGTTTCAGGTCACCCATAGCGAAACACCAATTACGAGCTTGGCCTCACAGCCACATTCAGATGTTGCTTTGTTCTGTTTGATCAGTGAGCCTTGTAAATGGGTCAACTCTGGTGATTGAGTCTCATTAAAAAGAACAGCTGAACTGTGTTAGACAACTGAAGGTTGTGTCCTCAACAGTTCGGACAAGGACTTGCACACTTTGACATTCAATATGCAGCAAAGATGAAATGCAATCAATTCTTCTTTTTTTCCCCAGAAGCTAGAAGTTTCCTTTTTTTGAGATTTGTCATTACCTACTTAGAAAATCCATATTTATAGATTTGTAGAAAATAATATAATATAAAATCTTTAAATATTACTAGGCCAACATAAATGTGAACTCACTCGGAGATCCATAAAGCCTTGTGCTTAATCTTCCTGTGTCCTTTCCTGCTGGAACCACATTTTGTATCCCCAAGGAAGCGAATTTCACCACCTGACAAGCAAGTATAACCTGCAAGGTACTTTTTGTCTTTAATGGCCACTATAAATCTTTTAACCAGAAAATAGTGAACTCCATTATAAGAATATAGAGGAAGACGGGTCAGCTGGGACAACAGGCTAGGTTCTTGTCCCAAAGTGATCCAAAATCTAATTCAAAGAAAAGATTGAAAAAAGAGTGTTGATCAAATGTAATGCCAAATGGATGTGACACCTCAGGGATGTACGGTATCTTATATAGAAGTATTCTGTTAGTTTAAAAGTAGAAGGGTTCCACAGAATCTGCCTTTGGAGATATTGAGTTTTTATAGTTTTCAGCAACACATTTAGTGAGGTATATAACTATGTATTTTTTAATGAAAACAAAATTATTATTTTAAAAGAAAAACCACACTGAAGTTCAACACTTGTCAAAATACTTTGTGTGGTTACAATTACACTTATGAGTTAATAGTGATAAAGTGAACTAGAAGTCCATAAATAAACTGTGATTGAATAGCATGTAAATCGTTTTCAGGCTCGTATACCTTGAACAGAATAACATATGCTTTAGCCCATAATTCATGCAGATTGCGATGATACATTTCCTGATGTGATATCAGTCTATAATTATTGAAAATGCGTTTGTTTTTCATCGCCTAAGGTTGATTGTCACAATGATGGCTTTGATAAACCAAAGATCATACAGAAGCAATAATACATGGATGAAAGAGGGTGTTGAATGCAGCTCTTCCAAGGAATTCAACATATCACCCGGAGCTTGAACAATTCTTTATCGGGAGCAAGGAGAATACGTCAAAGAAATAAGCAATTTAAGAAGATGGATCATGCAAGGCTACAGCCCACAACACACTGACTATTAGAGCTGGTGTTAAGTGCAGGCCACAGTCAGTTGCCTCAGGCCAACAAGCTTTTCATCAGCTTTGATGCTGGTAGCAGAGGACACTTCAGACACTTTGCTTTCAACGAGAATGGATGAGATACAGTATGAGCAGATTATCTGTGAACCAGGATTCAACATTAAGGTATCTCCTGCATTGGATTCATTCCAGACCAATGTAGCTCCCTAAACTGTGACGTTTTAACTGTCTATTGGAATAGACGTTTGGATAAGTAGTGCACGGTTGGGCGCTCTCTTGTGGCCAAAGTGAATTTCTAAAATGTAATACTGTTATTTTATGTTATTAAGGAGGGCTTGCTTCAAACGTTGATTGGTTAACTCGAAAATAATTACACAGATACATTTATTCAGCCTTAATGACAGCTTAATGCATGTTTGATTAAATATTAAAAGGCTTGTTTTTCCAAGTTTACATAATACACATTTTTAATTTCGAGTAAAGCGATCTAACAACTGCATCAAAACCTTTTGTTTCTTTTAAAAAGTGTGTATTTATTACGATTCATTGCCGTCAACTCCTTGCTGACTGATATCTGGAATGTAATCATTCTGCTAACCCATAAATCTGCCCAATGAAGGTTACTTGATATACAGACTGAGAGCCTTCGCACACTTCTGAGGTCGTGCTTGTGGACGCGCTGTGCAACCTTGTCTGAGATTTACAGACACATGACTGCACATTTGACCTTTGCAGTCCAAGTCTGTTCTTGGCAATGGAGGGGAAAAGTTACCCAGCACTTTTAAATAAATGCTGAGGTTGAGAGGTGATATTACAAATAATGATAATTTCAAACAAATAATTTATCATATTTGGAATGAATCCAAAACAGACTTTTCTTTGGTATTTCAATTTGATCTGTTGATGTTTTTGTGAGCATGGATAAATTCCTCTAACACTGCAAGATTCATATACCAAACCTTGTGACAGGGGGTGCATACATATTGATTTAATGCATTTTGTAATATCCGTAAAACTGTAGAAACTGTGTGTAAAGGGCAAGTAATTGTGAAATGTTGCTTTTGTTTTTCAAGTTCAATTGCATACATTTAAATGTGCTAAGGTTAAACCTAATTGCTGTGCTTAAGAAAGAAATGGAGATGAATATTAGTACAATAAATTTAGAAAAATAAAACGATAAGGTATAAAGCTATAAAAAGCATGTCTAAATTAATAACCCTATTTATACGTGTTGACCCCTGGCATGCTATTTTAATTTATTGTTTTCCTCTTTTTTGGCTATATTTTATCCATTTGTTTGCATTTGTATATGTTTAACTGTGTATCTATTTCATTTAGAATATAAAGGATGATTTTAATTACCAATACTTTTATTACTTAAAGTAAAGTATTGAAAAAGAAGAGAAAACAACCGTATAAAATGTACCTTTACTTAGCATTGTGGTATGGAAAATCCCGAATTTAAGGTATATTTTTGTCATACTTAAAAGCAAAAAAAGACTGCTTCCCACCATGCTTTGGCAAAAATACACACACAAACACATTGTAACCTCTACTGTTTGTTAAATATATGGATATTAAACCTGAACTGTTAAGGGAGCATCTTCGCTTTAGGAGCACTTCCCCTTTAAGCGTGCAACTGTCGTCACAGCAGGATGACTCGTATATTTTGCGACACAGCGTACAGCCACCACCGGCTCGCCGTCGCTGCCTCATCTCCACTGACATAGCCTACAGTTAATCGTGTAGAACAAAAAAGAACAAAAGTCCCGTGTGTTTACAGACAACTGCTCATAATGTGATACAAGGCTCCATTCATCTGCGACTCAAACACCAGCTTTCTTGGTGAGCCGGAAGACGTCTTATTGATGCATGTAAGATTACCACTGGTTCTGCACGATCAATTAATTCTATAGTAGGGGAAGGATGAAAGAATATACTGTGTTCTAGCTATGATTTTGCGATTTAGCATTATTGATAGCTTCATTCTCAGACACATGTTTAAACCGGTTTCTCAATGTCTCTGTCTGGATGTAGATTTACTGTTTTCACCTGAAGGAAATTGAATGATGCACAGGCCTGCACTTCTTGTATTATATTTGCAACATGGTGTGTGCGTGCATTTTGAAAATGTATCCTAAAACATACAGTAACACTGTAATTTCTTCTTGCATTCAAAGGAGCAAGCGTTGCTGACTGGAATTCACACAGGGCTCCTGTAAGAGCCCCTCTTTGCTGCAAAACTAAATGAAGCTAACGAAAAAGCAACACTCACAGAGGACTCCACCTACAGCTAGGACTCCTGTGCACTGTGCTGGGCTCCAGTAGCCCACCCATGCCTTTGATCCCTATCCCACGGCGAGTGCGCAGCTTCCATGGTCCCCACACCACCTGCATGCACTCGGCCTGTGGGTCCACGCACGCTTCCAAGCTTGTGCGCACCAAGTACAATAACTTTGACCTCTACCTGCGCTCGCGCTGCATGTACAGCTTCCTCCGGTTCCTGCTCTACTTTGGCTGCAGCCTGCTGACCTCTCTGCTCTGGGTGGCGCTCTCTGCTCTCTTCTTCCTGCAGTATGTCAGTGTGAGGGTTCTCCTGCGGCTGCAGTACAAACTGTCTGTGATTCTGCTTTTGCTAGGGCACCGGCGCCTAGACTTTGGCGTGCTCAATGACCTGATCATTTACAGCATGCAGATCACCATGTTCCTGGTGGGGGGTCTTGGCTGGTGCTTCATGGTGTTTGTGGACATGTAACTGCAGTGTGAGAGGCGTGGGAGATGTAATATGCAATGTGGATGCTTCACACTGCAACTTCAGCATTGTGTCGTGTAAAAAGACTCTTGATGTCAACACTATTTTATTCTTTTAGTTTTAAAATATGACAAAATCCAATAAGAGTGTGTGTAACAACTGGGTGGACGGTCGTTTAAAGGTCCCATTTCATGGCTATTTCCACTGATCATAATTCCATTGTTGAGGTCTACTAGAATAGATTTATATTGTGCAATTTTCCAAAATCACATTGGTTTCTCATACAGCATCTCTGTAAACTACGTGTATTCGCTGAATTTCACTCTCTGCCTTTAACGGCTCGTTGTAGCTCCAATAGCTCCAGCCCCCACCCTCCCTGTGATGTTGTGAATCGCGCTGAGCTCCGTGGAGGTGTGGTTTCCTTGTTTAGCGATACACAGCCAAACTCACCCTGAGCACACACAAAGTCACAGCCAAAGTAAAAACAATAAGTGTGGCTTGATATTGAGTAAGAAAAAGGTTGGTAAACGCTGTGAGAATGGGTCTGCAGAGAGAATTTCGCTGCGATCCCAACTGTTATCAGCCTGCAGCCAGGGAGGAGAGATCAGCAGAGCTGCCTGCACTGAGTGTGTGTGTGAGGAAGTCCGTGGATTGGTCAATTTGGACCAATCAGCGGGGGCTTAATGTAACGGCTCCGCAGACGTAACGTAACGGTTCCACGGATTGGTCCATTTGGTTCCGGGTAGCGCATGACATCATGCAGTACACGGAAGAATCAATGGACAGTGACGTATCTCCAACGAGGCGTTTTGGGGAGGTATTTTCTGTGTTAGAGTTTTACTCGCTACAGGGTGTACTTTGAGGGTTTTGACTCCGCAGACCATTTACATACAGAAAAACCTTCATAACACACAGGGGGACGGGTAATAACTGGAAAAGCATGACATGGGACCTTTAACAATATTGGTCATGTATATCTCAGAGAGAACCACCTGGTTGAAAATCTAAAATGATGCATGAAGTCAGTCTGAACATGAGAGACTTATAGGACTCTCAATAGATGAATAGGGTCAAAAATATATTCTAATTTGTTTTCTTGCCATTTGTACACACATTCAGAAAGGAATCTTGACTCAGAACTAATTTGTTTACAATAATCGAAATCATCAATGTTGCATGGAGGGGTGACTGAACATATGACTGTTGTTGTCATGGCTGTGGGATGCAAGATAGTCATTTGTGCCAAAAAAAACCTGAGTTTGGCTCCAAATGCAAAAGTCTACCATGATTCCAAGGTTGATATTATTCCAGTTATGTTGTAAACACAATATCATGTAAACATACATGACTCACAGTAAAGTATATTTGGTTTAAGTGACCAAAAACTAGTTGTCAACGGTGTGTGTAATGTGTTTTTGTGGAAAAAGGTGGGCCAGCATAATATAAAGGGCATAAAAAGACAAAAACATGATTTTTTTTTTCAGTAAAGTTTTTAAATACATTTTTGTTGAGGAGCTGTTTTGTTACTGTGCCAAGTGAATGTGTTTACTTTGTTGGCCCAACACCCATGATGCCATGCCTCGAGCTGTGTCACAAGAATGTGTGACAGTTCCAATTGCGAACGTCTTTGGGTCAAATGTTCCATCAGTCGCTCTTCACGCTGCCTCTGACAGACTTCTCTGTTTAGCTTCCTGCAGGACGCAAACACCAGACCACATCTAGAACTCTCTGTTTCTGCCAAGCATAACAAAGGCAATGGCTGTGTCCACATCACCATATATAGCCTGTGTCTCACATGGCATGAAGTATGCTTACAAGATCTAAGGAGGGCTCAATCTTTTCACACTTAACTTAGTATAATTGTCATGTACAGGCATGAGCTTACATTTCTGTGTTTATCATTTGCTGCTGGAAACTACCATCCCGAGATGTGAACTTTCGACACAGACGCTGTGGCCTGGCGGAGACATGCTTGAGACTGACATGGGCTCTGGCTGTAATTGGGTAATCGGGGGTTGGAACAATAAGCGTTTGTTCTGAGGATCAACACATCATATGCCTCATGCTCTGAACTGGGCTGATCTGACAGCACAGTTACAACAGAGAACATGAGTTGTGATGTCAACATAGTGCAGAAGGTAGGCTAAAGGATAAAGTCATGGCCTACTCATTTTCATTTCTTCTTTTTATTTGGAAAGCTGAAGTCATTTGCTTATGTCCGGATGACTTGTCAGTTTTCATGTTTTGTCCTGATCATTACATTTCGAAGTTCCTAAATGTTGTCATACCATGTCAACTTTAATCATCCCGTGTTGTATCCACTGCGTTGATTCAAGGCCGCAGCTCCTACCAGCTGCCATTTATAAGGCTACAGTTACAGTTGTGAAGCCAAGCTAAACAATAAGCCATGATGAAAAATCTTTCATTTCCCTTGTAAACATTACTATGTAAAAATGGCATCGACTTCAGTACAACGAGTTCATTATAAACTCGCCACTGAGTACCACAGACACATGATAGTCCCTATAGGAATATCATAGTACTACCATTCACTTTTAAATACCGAGAGGTGCAGTAAGGGGGCTGTAAATTCAATGTAATGCCATTCCCCTGCTGTGAGCTCATATACTGTAAGAATATCACAGGACTAATAGAGGGGTACAGTTAAATACATTGTCGTTTATTTGAAATTGTATGTAAAATGTGCATGACCTAGAATACTTTCTCACAGTGAAAGGACAAACATTAAACATATAAAAGAGAGGGAAAGCAAGAAATAAAGATTATTCAGTGCCATCATTAGATGAAGAATGTAATGATTAATAATGTTCATTTGGGAATTGCCTATGTGAACAAGTATCAATAAGTATGCAATATTTCGGAAAATAGTTAAATTTGCTTAAAAAGCAAACATAATAAACAGAGGGGGGAGAAGAATTCAAATGTTGTACTTCAGTAAAAGTAGAAGTACCAAAAGGAAGGAATACTCTGTATTGTAACTAAATACATATAGTTAGTCCTGCAATCAAAAGGTTACTCAACTAAAAGTACAAAAGTATTAGCATCAAAACATACTCAAAGTACTTATTATGCAATTTGGTCCATTTCAGAATAATATATTATATGTTTTGATTATAAATATTAATCCATTAAAGTTGTATCAAAGCTGGTAAAGGTGCAGCTAGTTGTAATCACTTTGTATACTACTGCAGGGTAGCTTGTGAATATTACTCCAGGTGTAACTTAAAGTCTCATTTAAGTGTCGATTATATTTAATGTTATTAATCAAAATGTGTAAATTAATTAAAAGGTACAAAATTAATAGAGTAGAAGTACAAAGTTGCATAAAATGGAAATACTCAAGAAAATTACACTTAAAACAAAATTGTACTTTAGTACAGTTCTTGAGTAAATATACTTAGTCACTTCCCACCTCTGCATACAAAATATATAACATGTAAGTGTACGGTAATATGAAATGTGAAATCTAACCTTGCATCCTATGGAGATTAACAGTAGTGATCATAAACATGTCATGTTGGAAACACATTCTGCCATCGTCTAGCAGAGATTGTGTGAGCTGTGGCACTGTGACATCGCATGCCTGCAGTAAAGAAAGTTGACTTGAGGTCACACCGCCAGCAGTTGGCGCTTAGCTGAACTGCACAAAGCACATACACACACATGCGCATCATGTAGCCTGAGCTGTCATCACATAGGACACGTGAGGTAACCGCACATGTACATTTCCTTTAGGAGTACAATGAGGCACCTCGTTTTTTAACCACGACTGCGAACTTATCCAATAAATTCACTTTCATACACGCACAGACAGTGTTGGTAGCACTGCTATACCTCGCCCCGAGGGCTAGCCATAGGAAAGTCTGCACCTTTAAGCCCGCAGAGTGCACTGAGTTCGTGTGTCCGTAAAGGCACATGATATGACCGAGCACTGCTGACAGTCCATTGACGAGTACACTATAGTAGGACAGTGTACCTACAGTAACCTGGCAGTCACGCTAAAACGTCTGCGTCTTTAAAAATAAACTCTGTAGCGAGTGCTGCATGATGTCAGGCTGCCTGCACTGTTCATGTGAGCAGCGTTCACTTCCTGCACAGGGATAGAAGCGGCCAGAGAGAGAGTGGGATATAGAGAGATGGGGGACGAGCGGCCAAGATAGGACTGCTGGAGTGATAGAGTGAGCCAGCGGACAAGGGGAAACCGGGGCCTGCCTTTTTTAACACCCCGTAAACTTTACAGGTTATCCGCCAACATCATCGCCACCGTCGGACCGCCGCAGTTCATGGAATAGCGACATATATCGGGTAAATATATCCCCCTTCTGTCTTGGCGTGATGTTTACGGTGCCTGTTTTGTGTGACGCATAGGTTTTACCATGCATTATTCCCTCGCCTCTCCTTCTTTATGGCCGCACACCGTGACATTCTGCTGGCATTACAGCACGAGAGTTAATTGAGATATCACTACCTGCTCAACTAAGTTAGGCTCTTCAACTTTCGTGAAGTGATATCGCGAAATGTGAAGGTTTTACACGGGGGATGATAGGTGTAGGCTTCCACGCGGCACGAGAAGAATTTAATTAGACTATTTGTAGTTATTTACTAATATTAGCCCACTGTAGCGTGGCTATAATGTTGTCTTGTACTTTTGAAGACTTAATAGGGTTTTCAACTCATGCTTTGCTCTGGAGAAGGTGGAACGGTATGATTTGTCTTGCGTCACGATGAAGCCAAAACAAAAAAAAATCTCCACCCATAATGCATCTATTGTAGTGCTGTATGTTGCAGAATTGCGGCAATGAATACTACACACACAGCATCTGAAGTAATTTTTGTTGTCAGGGGCAGTAGTATACAACGTTTATTAATACATTTAAGATAACCCAATACAGCTGGCTTCTCTAATCCTCAACCCCAGGCAAGTTAGTAGTATAAGATATTTCTTAAAATTCTGGTAGGCCTATTACTAGAAAGTCTTGTACTGATGTAGTATACGAAACTCACTAAGCATCACTTTCTAACATTGTTTTAACATGACATAGGCTGTAAACTATGTGGGCTGGGAGGATTGTGAACCAAAGTGGATCATGAAATATAAATCTTTGTAAAATAAGTCAAAGTGATTCTGGGATTACCTTTTTAAAAAGTTCAAACACAAGTTTCACCTATACACATTACAGTTGCCTTCTGTAGTGTCAGTTCAGTTGGTGTTTTCCTTACCTGACCTGCACCCTGCAGGAGTCATCTGACTATACATGCAGTACCTCCCCCCTTCTCCAGTGTGTACATGGTTGCAGTGTGTGTGGCGAGTCGGCATGAAGCTTGTGGCAATCTTCTTCATTTCCTGTCACTTTCCTTCCCTCTCACATGCACTCTTTCTCTCTACCATCCAGCTCTCATTCTCATACTCTAGTCCACCCTGTGTTTGTTCTCAAGAGGAACAATTCGGATTATTTGCAACTTGGTTATGGTCTAATTCTTCATCTTTGTCAGATCGTAAAAAACCTAGACTGAGAGTAAGACTTACAGTTTTTATGCAGCATTCTGGTCCCTGACAGGTGTCGCACAGGTTGGACGTTAAAAAACGACAGCTTGCTTAATAGATTCATATGAATCATTTAAGTTGAGTAGTGTGAAGTGCGTAGTGTTCCTCACCATTTAACAGTTTTGAATCCCACTTCAGAGTGTTTGAGCAATTTTAGTGCCCATCTGCTTCTGCCCGCTTCTCCTATGTAGAATTATCATGGGGGATAACAAAAGGAATTGAAAATCCCTGTTTAAAAGCTGAAACAGTATGAATCCATAGGTGAGCCTGTCAGTCCTAAGGCAACACACAGGCAGCAACTTTATCAAGGTTTCATATTGCTGACTCAATTCAAGGAAATCAGTTCTGGGTAATGGGAGTTTTGACTGCCAAGTTTCTATCTTCAGTGTTTATCATAACATATATGGAAAATGAGGACTTTTTTTCCCTTTCGAAACGGAGGCCTTCATACACCACTTGTCTTTGACTTGGACGTCTGCCAAAGGGTTCTGATGGCTCTCAACAGCTGTATTTCTCTCTGTGTGTGTGCGTGTGTCGTTGAGTGTGTTAGCATGTGTTTGCGTGTGCTCTTACAGTGTCCCGGGATGCCCTTCCTCCATAGGCCTCACATTATACAGCATTCCACAAGGGGGCCCGAGGCTGTGTGCAAGTGGGGAGTGTCAAGGAGAGAGAACGACAACACAGTTTCAAATATAACTGGTGTGGATCCTGAGACGAGGGTGAAAGAGGGGAGAAAGTAAAACAACTGTAAGAGCCTTGACTCATTAAGTATGTGTCATCTCTTGTTAGACCCATAAATGAACAATAGTTTATGTTGCCTCAGCATATGAAAAGACACAATTAAAAAAGCATTTAACAACTTCTATTTGGGTAACATAAAGGAGATTTCCACTCTGTATGTTTGTCTTCGACAGACAATACTTAAGGGCAACAACAACACGCTTAAAATACATTTATTGATCCAAACTACATTTAAATCATGGATTCTTTTTATCCAAAGTGCTGCTTAATTGCCCCCATTTCTCGGTGCACTTTTATCTGCACTGTAAATGCGTCTATACTCATGTGTGGAGTATGTTTATGTGTGTTTGATTTTCCTTTCCTGAGACAGTAATGAGTCACTGCTGATGGTATGTGATACAGGGCACCAGTCATACATCATATTCTCATACACTCTTGTTTTTCTGCAGCACATAACTGCTGTAGCTGCTGCTGGTGTGTTCAGGCTTGTTAGTAGCTGTTAATACAAACTCAGGTTCACACAGTTAAGGTTAACTGTGAAGAAATGCTTTATCCTGTTGAATATCAAGAAGCTGTTTCTAATTGTATCTACATTTTCTGGACAAATCAGTAGATTTCTGCATGCAGTAGTTTCTAATGGACTATGATGGGGCCAAAGGAATGTTTCCTTAAAATGGGAACAATTAAAATCAGATTGCAAATTAAACTCAACTATTTCCAGGTCTGTACGGCATTGGTTCTGTTGGGCCAACATTGGCGCTGCACGATTTGGGGAAATAATCTAATTGCGATTTTTCTGACAGATATTGCGATTCCATTATGCGATATTTGTTTTTAAGCGAGCCAACGGAAGTTTATTGTAAAGTGCGCCCATATCTCCGGCAAGGAAGGTCGTATCAACGTGCTCCCGTCTCTAGCACCCCCCGCAGCCCGAGTGTTGTGGCAATGTAGCACTCACAACAGGAAAGAATTAAACAGAGAGGAATCAATAAAACACAAACACAGATATAGCTGATCAGTAATTATTATTTAGTTGTTGCAACAAACAAACAAACAATAATGGGGAGTACATCACCTGCTGCCACAGCAGCCAATCACGGAATTGCCCCCCAAGACCAGAAAGATCTCATGTGCTTTATACATGTAGAACACACACGAACATACACTTGAAACAGCATACGTGGTTGAGATGTTCCAACCTCATATATGTTGCATCCTCTGAGTTCTATGATCCCAGATTTCATGACCTTGTTTAGCAGCTACTACACATGCCAATGTATACAACTGCTGGTGAAGAGTTTGAGCTGATTGCCTAGATGGGCCTCCTTCCGGCAAACCAAATGAACAACACACCGTCCACTATACTGTAGCTTATACCATGTGACATTAATGAATATAGCAGAAATACGCTGTAATAAACATTCTGCTATAACACGAGCTACGAGTGAAATAACTAAACTTACATGAAACTTCCGTTGGGTTGCTTTAAAGTCAAGCTTCAGCTTAAGATTCGCCCTGTAATAGATGTAAAAACATGTGATGGAGCATTACTAACCTGACTCAGATGGTTTGTTTCACCAAACCATACTTGGAAAGCTCCATTGGAAGCCATTTGGAAAAGTATTTCAAAAATACTTGGCAGGTGATTGGATCAATCTGTCCATCACCTTCTATCATGGGCCACTTATGATTGGTTAACAATGACTGGTACATGTGGAGCACAGCACTTCTGATTGGTGTGGATGACTGACACACAAGAAGAACAACAACAACAAAAACGTAAAAAGAACATTTGCAGGCTTTGCGATTTGATAATTGCATCATTAATTAAAAAACGCGATTTCGATTTAAAATTGATTAATCATTCAGCCCTAACCAACATGCACATTTTCTTTGTCTTGTTATTTTCTTCTTGCTGCATTTTTACAAAATACTTAAAGTTTTTAATATCCAAAGTTAAAAGGCAGTAAAGTAAGGTAGTTTTTGTTCTCTTCCTCATGCTGAAAAGTCTGTCACCATAAGAGTAGTTCAGTAATGATACCTGGTAAGTCCATAGATCTAATATGACTTTAATGTTCACCACCCGAAAGCCTTGAATTATACACATGCAGTGTATCCACTTAACTCTGTGTGGGTTTAAAGAGCTGTAATAAATTGCCAACTTCTGAAATGCAGGTGAATAAAATAGTCAGTGACCTTGCCTTGTCCCCATATTTTCTTATCAAAGTTAAAATTAGGTTCGGAGACACATGAAATCAGGTTGACTTCTAAATAGTAAATCTGGCTGCACTGCTTACAAATAAATGAACTTAGATAAACTAAATTACGTCCAAATGACCAACGTTCCCCTTGTCTGTCTTCTAACTGATACACAGTAGCATCACGGTACTGTCTCTTTTACCTAAATCAAAAGTGAAAAAAGGGATTTGGTCCAGTAGAGGGAAAGAATATAAAGAAAGATCAGCCTTTAATTATATATTACAGTGTGTGTGCAAGACATTCGCATTCATCGAGCATAACACAATTAATTTGCAGCCAAACTACATTTCTTATCCCATAAATGGTGTAAAAGGTGATTGCCTAAGCCATAAAAGAGGGTGGGGCAGTTCCTCAAACGCTCTGCTCATTTCAAATGGCTTTCTTGGAATTTGCTACTATACCTTTTGTCAGTCCCTCCTACTTTCAGCCTCCCTCTAGGAAAACACATATGAAGATAGTATAGAACACAGGGAAACGGGTGTGGCTTTTCCGGTTAATTAATTTATTATCTGTCTTGTCGTCGCCACAGAGATTATATTGGCACATGGCATGCTCTCTTCAATTGTCATTTACTGCCCTCAAAAATACAAGTACATACTACCGTAATTCTGTTCATTTTGCAATACATAAACATGGAAGTATGATGAGGGAAAGAGAGGATCGGATTATAAATCTTAAATTATTACAGATTTGGTCTGATTTGGCTCGCTATGGGCTTTTCAGGAAGCCTACCAAGAATTTAGACAATGAACAGCAAACA